TCAGGATGATGCAATGCTAAAATGTTCTGCCCAAGGTTCAGAAACTTTTGGGGATTGCGCACCTGCGAATTTCCAGAAATAATCAATGTCAGCAAGAATCAATGTTAGAAATAATCAATGTCAACAATTGAAATCAATGTAAAAAAATATAGTAACAATGTGATTAATGTTACCTCTTTGTCTCAGATATGTTTGGAAGTGTGGTATGGGTACAAAGGAAGTAAAGACATATCAGATGGACCCCCTCCGAAAGCCTTTGGCTTGGCATTAGCAACATCACCCTCCAGAGGTGGCACCGATGCATCCCGATCACCAGGTACGACTGGGTCAACAGGAGGTGGCATAGGTGCATCCCACCGCCTGCGGGAGGATGGAGGAAGCGACACGTCAATTGATGCTTCCCGTGGTCTGCGGGAAGAAGATGAAGAAGGTGAAGTGGGCTAAGACGTAGATGGAATAATCTGAGATGTAGCTGGTGTGGCCTGAGATGTTAATGGAATGGCCTGAGGTGAAGGCTAAACCACAAGAGTGGACTGAGCCTCAGGAGTAGACTGTACCCCAGCAGTCGATTCCTCTCTCTGACCAGAGGTACCTGCTGCATCCGGACCTGGTTGGCTCTGCTCTTGTCTGACATATGTGTGCTAGGAAACCCATCATGCCTCAATTAGTTGGCTCTGTCAACCATTATGCATGCAAGATATATTATAATTAATCGTACAATGAGTTTACAAAATAAGAAAAATTATTAAAAAAAAACAGACTGAGAAATTTTGGAGATACATCTCCAAAAATATTCAACGTATCATGCACTCTAGGTGATTCCAGAGATACAATTACGAAAAAAATTCCGCATATGTATCTCCGAAATCATCAAGGGTACATGAAGCATTGAATTTTTTCGGAGATGTATCTCTGGAACATTTTGCAACTCAGAGGTCGCGCCAATGGCTTCCTCTGCCCCTTATAATCACAAATTTGAAGCCATGATCACCCATTTGAGCCAACAAACAGTACATGTAGTTACTCTAAACTATGTTTCATTTGATTTCTAAAATTTTTGACACCTAACAATAGACTCTAACTCGTTTACAACAAAACTCGAATATTAACTCGAAAAACTTACCCGAATTATAGGATTCAGAAGACGTTGAACGATGCACTAGATGCAGCTTGATGATTACTTGATCATCAGATGAAAGAAATCAAATTCGGGAATGAGAGAGATGAAGAGGTTTGTGAATAGAAATGAAAAAGTGTGGGATGAGAAGAGTCTGACGCGACAATATGCTCCAAATTGTTTTGGAGATATATCTTCGAAATATTTCAACGTTCAATTAGTCTTTGGTGTGTCCGGAGATATATCTCTAAAATATCTTAACATTTAATTAAAATATGTTGCATCCGAAGATATATCTCTGAAAACTATGGGTATTATAGGAAATCATTCCTAAGGTATTACGGCGATAAAGGCACAAAACCTACGACATATTAGGCCAATCCCGTATCATATTTACGTCTCCAATTTCCATAATTTCTTACAACTACCCCACAATCATTAAAGTTCTCAATACCCTATACGATTAAAACCTCATCAACAGATTTTGGCCATGAAGGCCTAATTTCCCTTATTCTCAAATAAGCCTCAAACCTATCAGACCATCAGTTCAAATCCCTCAAACTCATTAAACTCACCAGAAAGGCAACAACAATTCAATACTCAAAATCCCTAAACCCTTAAATCAACTTTAAACACATTAAATCACATATTGAAAACAATGAAGACAATATTGCACATACCTTAATTGCCGACTCTAAGCCTTTCTCCTTGATTCTTGGAAACCTCGCGAAACTTTTTCCTCAATCCTCTTCCTCAGAGCTCTGGCCTCTATTTCTTTCCTTTTCACGATCTAACAAGAATGAATCCTAATTCCCTCAAAATTCCTTTTTGTTAAACCTTCCTTTGGGCCTTAAAATTAGGCTTTCCAACTGCACCCTCACTAACTCCTCCTCACATGTCCACTTTGTCCTTAATTCACTTATATTTATTTAATTAATAATAGTTCCAATATATTCATATTTTATACTATTATTTAAATAAATAACTCAAAATCCATAATTCCCAATATTCACACCAACCACCGAAAATCACCAAAAATGTGAATATTTATATTTAAATAAATTAAATAAATATTCTAAGAATTTGGGGTGTTACAAAGAATGACAAGATTAGTTAGATAGTCTGGACATGACAGATGGTCCTAGGTAGATCCTTAGGGCCAATTCGACAGACGAGAATCATCTAATTATCTTGTAATAGCTTCATTCCCATTAATGAAATAAGTTGCAAACATTGAGTACTTTTACCTATTTATTTTAGATTCTCATGAACAACATAAAATAAATATATACCAGTTTAAAACTGACCACAAGCATGAACAAACTCTGAATTTATTAATAAAAAGCTTAATGCAGAGATTTCAACAGAATACAAAGCATAACTAAGCAGAAATCAAACATCAGAATCTTTCATAGATAACTTCAAACTTATCTCTCCAAATCATAGAAGAAATAGCCTCAGAACTCATGCATTTCTTAAGTGATAACACTTAATTTCAGAAATATCACCACCATAAGACTTCTACTGAGTTCTATCTTTCTTCTTCTCAAACCTACCATCTTTCTTCGACAACTTCCCCTTTACGGACAACCCTTCGCCAACTGATGATGATGGTTTATGCTCATTTCTTTCGTTCAAATCCTTCAAATACAAGGCTGCTTGAACTTCTTCAAAGGTCAGAGACTCTCTTCTATACAAGAAGGTTTCTTTGAAGTGAGCATGCGACTTAGGTAAAGAACACAACAATAACAACACTTGATCTTCGTCACTAATAGTAACATCAATATTTTCAAGATCAAGAATCAGCTTGCTGAACATATCTAGTTGCTCTGTTAATGCTTTATCTTCATTCATCTTGAATGATATAAAGCTTGATTCAAGTACAAACGATTCACCAAGTACTTTGTCATATACAATCATTCGAGTTTCAGCCAAACACCAGCTGCCGGTGTCTCCTTCGAAACCTGCCTAAGAACCTTATCACCAAGACTCAAAACAATTGCGCCGTGGGCTTTCTCGATCATCGTTGTCTTATCCTTTTCCGTCAATGCAACATCCATGACATCTCCCCCTTTAACGCTTCTAGAAAACCCCGTTGAATAAGAAGGACTCACATCTTCAAGCGCCATAAACCAAAATTATTAACTCCGGTGAACTTCTCAATTTCAAACTTTGTTGACGACATCTTCTCCACGCTCACCGCACCATTTTTTTGTGATCATAAACGATAAATTTCAACACTTTCTTGAATGAGAAATGAAGTTTCTTGATGAACAATGAGACAATTAGGTTTCTAAAGAGAGAAAGAAGAAAAGATAAAGAAGAAAGTTGGAAGAAGGATTTGGACAAACTGTTTTCTATTCACTTATTCAATGTTACAAATGATTACTAGTGAATAACACAATTGACCTCACTCAATAATCTGAGTGGTCGAACCTATTTATAGACTATAAGGTAACTTAAATAACAAGTTAACCTAAACAATTGAATCCTTAACACGAGGCCCAATTCGACACTAAATACTAGAACTGACATCGACTATAGTATGTCAACACTTCGACATCATCATGTGAGCAATCTTCGACTTCATACTTGTCTCATGTCGAATCATAAAAGCTATCCCAATCAACACATCCTAGTCGACAACACTAGAGTTCGATCCAATATCTCACATGAACAATTAAAAACAAGATTGAAAATCAAAAAAAAAAAAAAAATCAATGTCAAAGATCCGAATACATTTTTACTATTTTTCATAAAAATAGAAATAATATCAAAATCCTAAATCATAAAGTTTTCTAACAATATCATCCAATTGATACCATTACATTCTTCACAATTTAATATATTCAACTTTTATATTTGTGATAAAGTTAAATACATCGATAACTTAACACTTACTTTTAATAAGGTTGTTAGTATGATAAAATGCTTTATCAACCATGCTACTCAACAAACTCCCATTTACTTGAAAAGACCCATTGACTTTCTATTCAATAAAAATATAGGCGCAAAAAATTAGTATTCACGGCTTTGATCTTATAGTTAGAGATAGAGAGGTATAGGTGTTGTGTTGACCCTTGAAAGAGGGAAAGTAATGCATGATCTCTATACTTTATTCAATTGAAACTTAAACTTCCTTTTAGTGACCTGTAATGGTTTTAACCTTTCGACCAACTCTCAGTTCTATCCTCAAAGATGAAAAAAAAAAGTAAAAATCAGTCAAACATGAAGTGAACCTTTGCTAAGTTGCATAGTTAGTTACATAGAACTGTTAAAAAAATCATAAAATTGAAATAAAATGTTGTTAAGTAACCGAATTATTTCTTTCACTTAATGAATCAGTATTTTTCAAATAGTTCAATAATCCAACGAGCGAGTTAATCAAACTGAATAATTTATTTGGCTTTCTAACCGATATTATGAAAAGTCTTAATTATAACTTCTAATCACATATTAGATTATAGTGTCAAATATCATGTGAAATTACATACACAATAACAGATTCTAATTTCGAATTTTGTCAGTTAGAATGTGCCAAATTATTTGGTGTCAACCAATCCGGCTATTCATCCATACATGACATTCAAACTTCAATATTTTAAATCTAGTTCTACACATTTTCCTTCCTGTCACTCATTGACTTGTATAACAATCCTTAAATAATTTAAGAATCTGTAGACTTACTGTACCAAAATTAAATGGTCCAATGGCATTTCATATTCCAACATGCAATTAAATATGTTATAAACAAACACTAGACTTTCATATATATATATATATATGGTCATTGCATTACTTGAGCAACAAGGTGATTCTGCACTTTGTTTAGTTTTTTGTTCTATCATTATTAGAACTTCTCATTGAAAAGAAAAGGAGCAAGATGCAAACCAATGAGGAGCAGAATACTCAACAGCAGCAAGAACCTGTTGGCCCAAGGTATGAAGCTAATACAACTCAGCAGGTAGGTCATCCATGGAGTACTGGACTATTTGACTGCCATGAAAACCAAACTAACGGTAATATCAACTTTAAATTTTGTCAAATTATTAGCAGTGTATATATATCTGATGTCTGTGACGGTGTCTGATGTCTGTGATTGTCTGTGTCTGTGCTTCGTAACATATGTTACTAGCGTGAGAGACATTTGACTTGCTGACATATACTTTGTTTTATGGCTTGCAGCTGTTATGACAGCATTTTTGCCTTGTGTAACATTTGGGCAGATATCAGAAGTAATGGATGTTGGAGAACTCAGTAAGTACCTCTATTTCATAGTTCTACTGTTTGCAAAAATTACTATAAAATGAGAATAATCTAGTTGTTGATTGTAATCATGTAAGGTTGTCCTTTGGGAAGCTTCATTTACCTGCTAATGATGCCGGCTTTGTGCACTCAATGGATTATGGGATCAAAGTACAGAACAAAGTTAAGGAAAAAGTATGATTTGGTGGAAGCTCCTTATTCAGATATAATTTCTCATATCTTTTGTCCATGTTGTTCTCTATGTCAAGAGTTCAGAGAGCTTCAAATTAGAGGACTTGATCCTGCTCTTGGTAATTAACTCACCTCAACGTTTTCATTGTTTATTTACATCCTCTAGTTATAACTAAAGACGTTCATGAAGTTGATTTTTCTTTTCTTTTTCTGCAGGGTGGAACGGTATTCTTGCAACACAGAGAAGTGATCAAACATCGAGGAATCCTCCCTCAAACCAATCCATGTCTATGTGACCATTGTTCTTTCTAAATCAGTGAATATTGTATTTCTTTTGGAGTTTATGTTTGATGCTTGTAATTGAATTTTAAGAAAGTAATGCTAGAAGTTGGCGATTTCACATCTTTATGGAAAAAAATAGGCTTCTTTTGTTTGGTTTCTTGACAGAGGGAAAGGAAAACTTACTTTTTGTGAACCCCACAATCTAAACTTCTTTTTGCTAGACATTGAATGTGTGAAAATGATAAAATAGCCGTTTGACATTTTTTTTAATAAAAATTTTATTCATGGGAAGCATTAGAAGTATTCCAACTCAATAAAAAAATTTAAATCATCAACAACTCTCCAAAATTTGAGAAGAAAAAAAAAAGGCATTTGTGTCTGTCAAAAAAATTATTTATTAAATTTTTTAAATAATTAATATATTTAATTTATATATAGTTCAAATATATTATTTATTCAATAAATTTAAAAAGTAAAAATGAAGGGAGTATATTATTCTGCTTAATTACTTCTTTCACAAAGCATCAACCATGCCTCAATTTTTTCAGTTTTATATTTTTTTCTTTACGTTTCAAAGTCACTTTTTATTTTATAGAACGTTATTTTTTTTAAACACATATATTATTATCACTTTTATATACGTATATAAAGAATAACATCTTTAATTTAAAATAAGAGTACTAATGATATCTATAATATATACACTTTTTATATTTATATTTATATATAAAGGGAAAATATAATTTTGGTGTAGCTTTTTTTTTTTAAATATACTTTTTAATTTTTATTTTAAATCTTAACTTCTCTATTTAATCAATGATAGTTATGTGATGATTTATTATCTTTTATACCATTATCTACTACTATTATTTTAAAAATAATCTATACTTATTTATAAACGGAAAACATGATTTTGGTGTAATTTTTTTTTTTTCAAAATATACTTTTCAGCTTATCTTTTAAATCTTAACTTCTCTTTTTAAAAAATAGTAGTTATGTGATGATTTATTATCTTTTATACCATTATCTACTACTATTATTTTAAAAATAATAAATAATAAAATGAAAATTAATCAAAAATAATAATATAATTTATATTTTACATGTGCAAGTATTATAAAAAACGGACAGAAAGGCACGTGCGTGCCCGTCTAGACACTAGTATCTATACCTATATATAAAGACAAAACATATTTTTGGTGTAGTCTATTTTTGTTCTAATTATAGCCTTTTCAATTTTTGTTTTAAATCTCAACTTTTTTTTCATTAACCTCTATATGGTGGTTTACATATCTCTTTCATTCTACTATTTATTATTATTTTATAAATAATTTAATTAAAATAAAAAATAAATACACAAAAAAATTATATTTTGACATGTCTGTGCATTAACAAAAGCGGACATCTGGACGTTAGTCTATACAATATATAAAGGGAATACTTTCTTTTTGGTGTGACCTATTTTTCTACTATTTTTACCCTTACATTATTGTATAATTTACTTAATAACTTCCTATTATTAATTTCCATATAACTTTTTATTATTAACTTCCACGTAACTTTTTATTATTAACTTCCACAAATAGTATTTTTAAAAAAATTTATTTTAACAAAAAATATCGTTTATCTTTTTATGTGCATTAAAAAAGCAGATAGACGGACACTCGCGTGCCCGTCTGAACGTTAGTATATATAAAGGAAAAACTTGAATTTGGTGTAGTATATTTTTAATTCAATTATACTCTTTTATTTTTTATTTTAAAATTTAATTTCTTTTTTATTAATTTCTTTTTTATCAATTATTATATGGTCGTTTGTACAACTATTTTATTTAATTTTTTTATATAAAATTTAAATTTAAAAAATACACATAAAAAATACATCTATATTTTTAAACCTCTGAATATTAAAAAACGGATAGACTAAGACTTGACTTACAAAACTTTCTTTTCTTTCAATTTTTTTCCCACTGTCATTCTTATCAAACAACTCCAATATCATTTCACGTTCCACTCAATTTTTTTTCACCTTCAGTCCTTTCACATCCTTTACTTTTACTTTAACTTTATTTCCTTCTATTTTTCTTTACAACCTACGTGAAAATTCTGCACGTATCAATATTAATTTACGTGAATATTCTGCAAAGATTGTCTAAAGACATATTGCAACATCAGTGGACTCTATCCAATTAATTAATTGTTTAAGAAAAAGTGAAATCATAAACAAATTAAGATTATTCATTAAGTAAAACAGAATAGACTATCTTGAATGGTGTGATATACTTTATTTTATTGGCATCCTTGAGGAAAGTGAAATCCAACATCAATATGTTTGTTTGTTTCACACATTTACTCGATTTTCAAACAATTTGATAAATAAGTTGTTGTAGTGAATACTAATGCAATATTTTTTAATGCATCCAATCTATATTAAAATTCCTTTCAACCTTACTACACCTGGGAAGCATTACTATAAAATGCTAAAATTTTGATTTAATGGTGGATAGAGTTACCATAAGCAGCTTTTTAGATGACCATAAAATGGTCCTTGGTCTAAGCTTAAAGATATAGTATGGAATGCTTCTTCTATTATACGTATAGGTGTCACAAAAGCTATATATTATAAAACCCTAATAATTAAACCATGGTCATGCCAAATCCTTGTAAAACTTTTTTACCATACTTATGTTGTTGGATGAAAATGTCATTTTTGTCGTACTTGACTTCAATTTCAGGTTGATCTCCAACTTTAATTTGTTGTTCATTTTAAAGTTGATATTTTATGTTCAGTTTAGGGTCATTTTTGAAAATTATTCAAAAGATTTAGTTGAGTTGATAATGGAATCAAAGTTTTGGCAACGGTTTCAAGACTAAGATGAGTTGAATTAGGATTTTATTTTTCTATTTTTCCTTATGCCAAGATGAGAGATTAGCATGTTATTTATAAGAGAAATATCACACTAACCTAATGAGATTTTTAACAAATTGCCCATTACAAGCTAACTTAGGGTACAAATTAACTTAAACAATTGGGCTTACAAATAAGGTCCAATTCAACATTCTAACAAACCTAGCAATATTGACTAATGCATGTTAGAACAAACTTTGACTACAACATGCATTACTCGCGAACAGACTTCGACCATACTAGAGTTCGATCCAATATCTCACAAATTTCCATCTTGGATTTAATTCTATAACATCAAAAAACTAGCTTTCTTCATGCAGCTTTATCAACTGCATACAGTCGAAAAACATGCAACTGAACAACGTCTTGGTGATCATATCAACATCATTATGACTTATCGAAACCTTCAGCACTTGGACTTCTCCACGCTCGATTACCCCTCTGACGAAATGCAGCCTTACATCAATGTGCTTGGTTCGCTCATGATAGGCTGAATTCTTTGACAGGTGTATTGCACTTTGACTATCACATTTAACAGTGATAACTTGACCTTGAAATTTCAGCTCCTTTGCAAAACCTTCAAGTCACAATGCTTCCTTCACAACTTCAGTTAGGGCGATATATTATGCTTTAGTGGTTGATAAGGCAACAATCTTCTGAAGTGTTGATTTTCAACTGATTGTTGTCCCAAACATAGTGAACACATATCCAGAAATAGATTTTCTAGAATCCATGCAACCTGCATAATCAGAGTCGACATATCCTTCAATTGTTGTTTTACTATCTTCACCCAAGGCTCCACCATAAATTAGGACTCTATTCAGAGATCCATTTATTTACCTTAGAATCCACTTCAATGCTTGCCAGTGAGCCTTTCTAGGATTCACCATGTATCTGCTTACAAGACTTACTGCATATGCTATGTCGGGTCTAGTACAGACCATATCATACATCAAAGAACCCACTATATTAGCATATAGAATGCTATTCATATAAGTTCTTTCGACATCAGTGATGGGACACTGATCTATACTCAGCTTGAATTAAGGGTTTTTCGGAGTCATAACAGGCTTTGAATTCGACATACCATACTTTTCAAGAATCTTCCGTAGGTATGCCTCTTTAGATAAGCATAATTTCGACTGCTTTCTATCTCTTTTGATGTCAATCCCAACAATCCTGGATGCAGCTCCCAGATCTTTCATGTCAAACTCCTTATTGAGTTTATCCTTCACCCTCATTACATCTTCGACATTGTTGCTTGGTATTAGAATATCATCCACATAAAGCAACAAAGTAACAAATGAATTACCAGGTCGAAATCTGAAGTAAACACAGTGGTCGAACTGACTTCTAATAAAACTTATGTGTGCCACGAACTTGTCAAATCCCTTATTCCACTGTCGAGGAGATTGCTTCAGTCCATATAAAGATCTATTCAACTTGCACACATAATCTTCCTTCCATTTTTCAACATACCCTTCAGGTTGCCTCATGAGGATTGTTTCATCTAGATCACCATACAAGAACATAGTCTTCACATCCATCTGTTCCAGTTCAAAGTTGAACTGGGCCACCGTGATAAGCCACATTCAAATGGATATGTGCTTCACAACAGGAGAGAACACATCATTAAAGTCGACACCTTCTTTCTGAGTGAACCCCCTAGCGACCAATCTTGCCTTGTATTTCTTTGACGCCACTCATTCGATTTCTTCCTTAACTTTGAAAATCCATTTACAGTTGACTAACTTGGCTCTAGTAGGTTTCTTGATCAGTTCTCAGGTATTGTTATCATGAAGAGATTTCATCTTATCATCCATGGCCTTCAACCATTCAGTCTTCTTTCGTCTCCTCATAACTTCTTTATAGTCTCTAGGTTCATTGTCTAGAACCTCACTTATAGAGATTAAGGCATAAGCTATAAGATCTGCATACCTAAGTCTCTGAGGTGGCTTGATGACTCTCCTCGACCTGTCTCTTGCTAGAAGGTAGTCATTATCAGTCTCCTCATCTTCGACAACATGTTCTGCATCTTCTTCGACTTCATCTGGGATACACAATTCATCATCAACATGCTCCACCTCAACAGGAATCTCTCCCTGTT